AGGGCCGTATTTGACTCTGTCCCTAAATCCAAACTCTGACAAAAACTCAACAAAATGATACTCTACTCACAAGACATTAGTCATTCTTATAGAAGCTCTGTACAAAAATAGTCAACTGCAAATGAGATGTGGTAATGATGGTGTTCTTACAAACGTTATCCCTATGAATGAGGATGCATGCCAGGGCTGTATTTTGGCCTAAGTATGATTTAACATCTATCTTAATGATCTGGAATCATATCTAAACTGCATTGACGGCCATTTCCCTTCCCTCAGACATAGAAGATTATGGTGCTTGTTGCTGTATGCTGATGATACAGTTTTACTCTCCCATTCAAGACTGGGCCTCAAACACCTTCTAAAAGCCTTTGCTGATTATTGCAGGCAAAATTGCCTTGCCATAAATTGGGACAAATCTGAGATCCTGATTTTCCTTAAATTTCCTAAGGAGGAAATTTAAGTGCCATAAACGGTCAGTTTTGGATCATCTGATCAAGCAGGTCAAGGGTCTTAGGTATCTTGGCTTGTTGTTTCACCATTCTCTATCCTAGTCAACCCACCACTGTTCTAAAGTGAGAAGCCACCTTATTTGCACTTCTGCATTTCTTCTGTTCAAATGATGGAGCCTACATTCTTCAATGATACGCTTGCCTCACAGTTCCTATACGGGGCTTCTGCATAGATAAATATAATATCTCAAGAGCTCTGTAATATTCAGACCCGCTTTTTTAAAGCCCTCTTAGCACTACCCAGCTGCGCCCCTAATGCTGTAGTCCTTTTAGAGACAGGACATTGGAAGCCATGGCATGTTGAACCGTGATTATTCTCTTTCAAGGACTAACAGTCCCTGCTGGCTTTTTGTGCATAAGCAGAAGGAAAGGACAATGTAAAGCAAAAGCCTTATAATGTTCACATACAGATTTACAAGCCCTCCCATGTATGCTTTTATTAAATTTATAAATGTTAAATCATTAAACTTATAAATTATGCTCTCTGCCTAAAGAATCAATTAAAACTTACAGTAAAACCAAGAAACAGAGGAATAAAAACCATGCAATAAAATGTGAGAGTGATGTTAAATGAGGGAAATGATCTAATCACAGATCATTAAAATGCTTCGTCCCAACGAGCCATTTAAAGCAGAACAAGAAAGAGACAGTCTTACCTCTCTCAGAAAGACAGTCTATGATTAAGATGATCATATCAAAAAGACCTTTCTTGAGTACCCAAGTCTTTAAGAGATAACATTGAGATGTATAACTGGGCCACCAACACACAAATTATGTACATTGAAGGAGATGTTCCTGCTTGGGGTTTCTTTAGTTAAAAGAATTATGTATTGTATTGTATTGTATTGTATTGTACTGCATTCAACTTGGATATCATTCAACTCCATTTTGATTCTGGGTGGCTCACCGCATAAAAAACAAACAACAATATGCAATTCAGATAAAATAAACAACGAACAAGATAGTGAATCCAGCCAACAGCAACATACATTCACTCTACAAGGGGCTCCAACCACCGTAGCCTAAAGCCTGGAAGAAAAGCCAGGTCTTTAAGGACCTCTGGAATGCTATTAGGGTGGGAACCATCTGGAGGAACCTTATTCCAGAGGGCACTGGGGTTCCGATAGATGGCATTGCTTGATCAAAGGTACCTGGAGTATGCCAACCTGTCAGATCAAACTGGCTGGGCTGATATGACAGGAGATAGGCGGTCCCTCAGTAACCAGGCCCTATGTCCTGTAGGGCTTTATAGGCCATAATCAGCATCTTGAATCACAGCTGGAAGCACACTGACAACCAGTGCAGCTCACTAAGCAGGTGTGTCACATGGGCATACAAGGCATGCCCATCATTGTCCATGCCACTGCATTCTGGACCAGTTGAAGCTTCCAGGTGATCTTCAAGTGCAACCCCATGTAGAGTATATAGTAGTAATCAAGCCATGAGGTGATTAGGCCCCTCTTTTGTGGGGTACCATAAGGATCAACTCTTTCTCCCCTTTTACATGAAATTGCTGGGTGAGGTCATTTTCCAGTTTGGGCTTCACTAGCATCAGTATGCTGATACCCAGTTATATATTTTGATCCCAGGCAGGCCAAGGCTATTGAGGTCTTCTCCCAGTGCCTGGAGGCTCTGCAGGTTTGGATGGGGAGGCACCATCTTGATTCAATCCTACCAATACTGAGTGGCTGTGGATGTTAGGGCCACCTAGATCTGGGGATATTCCATCTCTAGCCATGGGTGGGGTAGCCCTGGAAGAAGGAAGAGAACCATTGCAAAATGGTGCCCTAATATCCCACCCCTGAAGCCAACCCATAAGGATACTGTAGTTGACAGAATAAAAGCTGCTGAGAGATCAAGGAGCACAAGGATGGATGGCCCCTTCTTCCTGGCTCCACCACAGGCCATCTACAAGCATAACTATCTGTTTTAAATCCCAGTTTGAAACTGACTGAAATGGGTCTAGATAATCTGTTCCTCCAGGGTTCTCATTAACTGCAGACTGACCACCTTCTCAAAAATGTTCCCTACAAATGGAAATTTGGAGGCAGGATGATAGTTATAAAAAATAGTTGGGCCCAAGGATGGCCTCTTCAGGAGGAGTCACACCACCCCCTCCTTCAAAGAGGCCGCCACCACAGGATGGACCCAACTGCAGGTCCTCTCCTGGGCCACTTTCACAATCCAGGAGGGGCCTGATTCAGTAAACAAGTGGCTGAACTGAGCCCTGTCTACTTTCTCAGGAGTCACCCGTGCAAATATTTGATGAAGAATAATTTTGGAAAAGAAAAACCCAATTTGTCCTATTCGGGACAAATCCTTACAATCATAATCTTACAGGCTGCAAAAATAAATATTGTTAGCTTGTTCTTCAAGCTAAACTAGTTGAACACAGTATCTTAGGTAATAGATTTCATATTAGATTTATATCACGCCTTTCTTCCAGGAACTCAAGGTAATGTGTACCATCCTCAATATTTCTCTTTAACAAAAAACCTGAGAAATAGGTTGGGCTGAGAGATTATGACTGGCCTAAAGTTACTCAATGTTTCCATGGCTAAGGATAGACTTGAACCTGGGTCTTCATTATCTTAATCCAAAATTTAACCACTACACCACACTGACTTGCAGTAAAAGAACACAAACACCAACAATCTAGACATGGAGTATAAAATTGTGTCTACATCCTGGATGCCAATTAAGCAAAGGTGTTTTTGTATTACTTATTTCTTTGCTTATGTATAGAGTTGTAATCTGATCTGTAGATCTACCCATCTCTCTCTCAGTCTATGGTATAAACCTATCTACTAAATTATAAATGTATACATTACTAATATAATTATTCTCCATCTTGCTTAAAGAGATATTAACCATCATGATCTGCTCGGTCCCAATTCCACTTTTGGCTGTTTTAGATTTGTGGGGGTGAAACACATGCTAGCTTGACATAATCAGCTTGGGCAACTGGGGTTCATATAGTTCACGGCAAGGCAGGTACCTCTACTGGAGGGGAGGAGGTAAAGCAAAGTCAAGATGGCAATCCCAACTCCACAACAGAAGTTGTGTCCGTCTTTTATGTATGCCACATGTGCAATGCACATAAAAAGAGGCAACATTTTGATGGCACAGTTGTGGCTATCTTGACTATTTTGAGCCCCTTCCACAAATGCCCTTGCTGCAAAGGTCAGCAAAAGTTGGCTGTTTTGGACTGAAGTTGCTGGATAAGCATCTTCACACTTTGCTTAGCGCGCCTAAAATGACTTGTTAATTTGGCTTAACAAGCAGGCCCAATATAATTCTAAGCTTGTCCCTTGTGTCAGAGTAGGTCAGAATAATTTAATCTGTATTATAGCTTAGTATATAATGAAGATACATTGTCGGTATGCAGATTTAGCATTTAGCAATTATTTTCTATGTATGAATCAGTATATTGTACACCTCTGAATTGTGCTTAAAACAAACAGTAAACTAGTGAAGTTATTCAAGACCAGTGTAATATCTTGTCTCTGAATATTTTATTTCCTGTTGTTTGCTGTCTTTAAAACCAGCTCATGTAGAGGGTTAATGATCTAAGTCAGTGTTTCTCAATCTCAGCAACTTTAAGATGTGCGGACTTCCACTCCCACATGCTGGCTGGGGAATTCTGGGAGTGGAAGTCTGCCCATTTTAAAGCCAGCTGGGGATTCTGGGAGTTGAAATCCACACATCTTAAAAAGTTGCTGAGATTGAGAAACACTGATCTAAGTGATATGCATGTAAGCAAATTTCTAGCCTGCACAGGAACACGCTCCAAACCGTCGCTGGAAACTATAAACCCGTGTATGAGATTCCCATGAATGCAATGTACAGGTGAGAACTCCCCACCCCACCGCACCCCACCCCCAAAGTCTGGCTCCTTCTTAAACCAAGGGGGACACTTCCCTAGTCCTGGGCTGGAAAGCAGGGCAGCCCCATCTGGGGGCTAAGCAGCAGAGATCTGCTGTGAGAACTGGGGAGATAAAGCTTGCTCTGCAGTGGGAGAGCCTGAGAATTGGGGAGATAAAAGCTTCTCCATGCCCAGATGTTTACTCAACCTCAGAACAGCTGGAACACTTCCAGTCTATCTCTCAGTCCTTTTTCCTCCCTTTCTTCTCTTACGTGGTACTTTTCCACCCGGCTATTGGCTCTTCCTTCTTCCCTCCCGCCACCTTTGCATCCCCTTGTCCCGCTCTCTCTTCCTATTCTCCCCCCGCCCGAATCTTCCTCTCTTCTCGTATCTCCCTCAACTTCTCCTCTCTACTTCGCCCTCAACTCCTTTTGTTGTTCGGGCTTCCAACCGCTCCGAACTTGCTTTGCTTCGCAGCGAAGGGCCAGATCACGTGCGTTAGTGACAGCCTGTCTCGGCGCGGCCCCGAACACCGCGAGGCTCACATTGGTGCAGCCGAAGCCGCCGTCCACCCCCCCACCCCCAGCCGCCTTCTCACACGCACAGAGATACACTCAGCACAGGATGGGATGGGAAAGTGGGGGGAGCCGGGGCGGGGCCAGGGACGGCCCCTGCCGATCAGCTGTTCGCTGGATTCTATAACAACAAAAGACTCAGCCGGGAGCTGAGACGGGCCGACGCAACAGGGAGCCCAGGAGGAACTGAGGGGAGCGCCGCCCTGCCACCTACCTCAATAGCCGCCGTCCAGCTTCGTCCTGCCCCGACGTCCGCCGACGGTGAGTGGAAGAGCCGCGGCTGCCCTGCGGACCGGGGTGGGTGGCCGGCCAGAGCGACCGTCCCGATGCGCGCTG